ACGCCAAAATTGACGCTGCGCCGTTCCAAAAGTTCGACCCACTCTCTGAAACCTGGTATTTTGTCCAAGTGGGCACACCATGAACAACCCCTCCTCCCCGAAGACTCCTAACACTGAGCCTTGGGGCCTCCTTTGGGATTAAATAGTATCATATTTTTAACGCAGCGTATTAATTTCTGCACTTGCAGGGCCAGTGAATACGGCATGTGGGCCCCTCCGCTACTCCGCAAGATGTTTGCACTCCAGTAAGCTTGGTACAAGGCCCCGTAGCTCAAAACTTTCGGAACGCCGATGTAGTAGAGTACCTGCCCAAACGGATCGTCGATGAAGATCGAGATTGGAATTAGCTGAGTAGCCGGAGTAGCCCTCAAAATTTGCATGCTGTAATCCTCAAGAGAGAGTAAGAGGATATTGTCTTTTCGGTTCTAGCATTTTCTCAAAGAACAGACCTGGCCCAACCACAGCAACACACCATTCAGATGGGCTCAACTCTCTAAGTACCAGCGCTGGACGATCGCACCTGCTGGATTCCGATGTTTCCCCTCTAAGCTAGCTCTCAGGGCAGCTCTAAGGCCTTCCACAATCCCTATCTCATCCGCATCCCATATGCCGTATATCCAGTTTTCATTATGCGTGTGCAGGTATGTATATCCATATCTCTCCTGTGGCTCCTGCATGATCTCTACAGGACGCCTGATGAAGCGAGAAGTGCTGACACCGTCTCCTCCGCCCAAAGTGGGAAGCAAAACGAAGCCGCAGCCTGGCAGCAAATGCAGGGAACAACTTTCAGGATTTGCTTTGGGGCCCCTTGGGGTCATACAATATGTTGTATCCCATTGAGTAGGCCCATGACAACCCCAAAACCGTCCTGTATAAGTAGGTCTGCTAACCCATGAGTAGCCGTAGGGCCGTAGGATCCACAAAGTAGGCGTGAGCCTGATAGTGATGCTGCGACTTCAACGGCCATTTCTGCTGCCGCTGCAGCTGCTTCTGTCACTGCTACCTGGCCGCCACCCCCACTACTGCTACTGCTACTGC